GTCGCCCCTAAAACTCCAATGACGACATCGCATTGCCACCGTGGCAGTCCTCCCCGCAAACCTTCAATTGCATCATCATCAATGAAATACAAACGGAAAAAAAATATAAAAAAAATCGGAAACAAAAAACCTTCATATGCAGCACGGACAACTGTTCAATCGCACAAATTTCCCTGCCCGAGTCATCTCGTTGAGACGCAATCAGCGTACGGTCTACTAGTGTGCTCATCATAAGAAGAATTCATCAAGGAAATAAGAAAAATAACGAATGCGAACTACGAACGCAAGGACTGGACTATGATCAACACACGATCGAGGGGCCTACATCGTCGACCGACCACAGATGGCGGCAACGATCTCCAGAAGCGCATGGCACATCATCCTCTGTGTTTCATCGGACGCCGAGTAGTGCACTTTTTGAACAACAACTTCCTGCTCGAGTATGTCGCACTGCCTCGTCAAAATGTTGCATTGTGGCTTGCTAGAGGAATCGATCGTTGAGGAGATCAGTTCGCCATGGCGGTCCATGACATCAGCGATCAACTACAACGCCTGTTGACGCGCATTCTTCCGCTTCCCGCCTCCAGCCCCACTGCCTGCGTTGTTATCAGAGTCCCTCGCCGAATAACGTTCTTCAGGGCAGCCATCACCGCCGGCCTCACTACCAACAGACTCCCCACCAGCAGCTCCTCGCCTCGGCAACTGCACCTCGTCCGGACTGCCATTGTCGACGACGTTGGGAGGGAAAATTGTGTGGTTACCCAGCATGCCTCCATGGATCTCGTTGTACAGCACCCTGTCCATCCGGACTTGAAGTTGTACTCCTTCCTTTCTTCATTTGACAGCCTGAAGAAATCTGCTCGCCGCTGGCATTCTGAAACCTCTGTATCTTCTTTGTAGTTTTGGAACAGATTGTCCCACTTCTTCATGCAGTCGTCGACGTCTTTAGGCCTCCCCACGTTCACCATCCGCTTCGCAATGTCATCCCGCTTCCACTCCTTTGTCCTCATCCGCCCGTAATTGTGACCCAGCCCGGGGAGGTGCATTTCTTGCTCCCGCTTGCATCTCACTAGGAGCAGTTGGTCGTCCGTAGACCAGTACGTCGCAGATTTCCTGTCGTCGTCACTTACGCCTCCTCTGTCACCACGGCCAATGGATCGTCCACGAACAGCACCTCTGTTATGTCCTTTCCCCCTCCCAGCCGTCTTCCCCAAAGGCCAAATATGAATGTCGTCAACATCGTCCCCTGCTTCCCCGTCCTCCCTGAATCCTTCGTTAGCATCGTCACCGCCATCGGCGTCGTCGTCGCCACCATCGCTGTGTGCCCTCATGTTGGATGCTCCTCGTATGATGTTTTCCACAGTGGGTCCTGGACGTACTGGTGCTCTGCAAGCGGGCTCGTCCCTCAGGTCGGGTTGGGTCGGCGTTCTACGGTTGGACATCGATGAGCGTCCTCTGCCGATGCGCAGGGACCTTGCTGCGACTCCACTGCATGCAGGGCAGCTGCTTGTCATTCATTCGTCGGACGGTACAGTCGATCGATGCTGTCGGGCTGGTGGCGACGGCCCGACACCTGCAGTCACGAACGCACCACCACGAAGTGTGGACTGCTCGGTATGCTGACTTCCAGGACATTCAAGGCCACGTGGCGAAGGATCGGTGTCGATGATGAACGTATGGGTTACCTCCGTCGCGCTGTCGGAAGATAACCCGAACCTCACACCGAGTCCTCCGTCATCGTCGTCTCCCAAGCCTTGCCGCAAGAGGGAGGTGAACTCGCCGCCTTCGTTGCTAGTTGAACCGCGTGCTCGCACAGTCTGCGACAACATCTGCGTCGACCCGCTACCGAGAGGCAACGCTGCTAAGTTCTTCCGTCTCCGCCTCCTCGTCCGACGGGGGCAGTGGCGTCTCCCACGACTCTAGATGGGTGTACAAGGACGGGTCGTACAGCCGCCGAGGCACCTCCGTTGCAGGTCCTCTTCCACCCTGAACTGCACCCAGTTCTGCGAGTGTCTGCATGCTCGCCATCGGACGTTCCCCTACCGGCCGTTTCGTTGACGCCCTCCGCTTGCGACATTGCTTGCACGTACAACACGACAAACACACGTGGAGGAACCTCAGGAGGCACCCTTCCAAGCGACTACTGCAGAAGTGTCTTCCGACATGTCGATGGATAGGGCAGGTGGACCTTCATATGCCGACAACCACCAGAGAAGATGACAAAGGCGGACCCTGGTCGATTAAAAATCGACCGTTGGCACCCACGCACTGCCCGAAGCGCCTTGGTATGTCGTCCTGCCTACATCGTCCTCCTCCTCCGCTTCCAGCAATTGAGCCAACGGTCCACTGCGGACGCCCCCCCGCACCCGCTCGACCCCCCACGCTCCACCCCGCCCGACAACGGCTACCGTTCGTGGCCGTTGCCCGCGTTGGCCCGCAAAAAACCTCCGATGTCCAACCACTGACCCGATGGACCGCTTCTGCACCAGCAACTCCATGTCGACGGTGCCATGCGCGAGACGCAACGAGTCCGTGAAACGAGGGAATCCTAAATTTTTCAGTAGGTCGGGGGCTACTGGAAAATTTAGGACGATTTTGCTTGGGGAATCCTAAATCCTTTAGGACTCGTCCTAACGCTATTTTCACATTTTCGATCTCAAAATTGGATTTAGGGTTGTGTGCAACCAAGACGCAATCCGAAAAACAGGCACTTTTAGGAGTGTCTAACGAGACCCTAAGTCACAAAACAGAAAGGACACAGGGCCTCGCCACACCACTCTTGGAAACTCAAGGCATACTCACACGGGGACCGAAAGTCTAAAAAATTTGAGGCATTTGGTTCAGGTTTTTTTAGACATTTGGTCCTCATGTGGTCACATGGGCGGACCTCGTCGAGGACGAACTCGCGACCCTGACACTTTGCACTCAGGGCAAGTGCGCCTTGTCACACGGGGGAGGACCAAACAACAAGATGGATTTTTTTTTAGTTTTTTTTCACGTCAGCATACACATGGGGCTTCGCTACAACGTAAATGTTCCTGGTCGCACTTTAAGTTGTTTGGCGGGCAATTTTCTTCGTCTACGATTCTCTTCAGTTCGCGAACATGAAAAAAAAAAAAAAACGAAAGGTAATTTAAGGGCATACTCACACGGGGACTAAAAGTCTAAAAAGATTGAGGCATTTGGTTCCTTTTTTTTTAGTTTTTTTTTTGTCCCCGTGTGGTCACACGGCCGGACCTCGTCCAGAAAGGACGAAGTCGCGACCCTGACACTTTGCACTCAACGCAAGTACGCCCGACCACACGGGCGAGGACCAAACAAAAAGGTAAGATTTTTTTTTTTTTTTTTTGCACCCAGTATAACGAGTGGGCCTTCTCTAGAACGTAAATGTTTCTAGTCGCACGTCCAGTAGTTTGGCGGGTTGTCTTCTTCGTCTACGATTTTCTTCACTTCGCGAAAAACAAAACAAAACAAAAGGTAATTTGAGACCACCTCCGGAGGTGGTCTAAGAAAAGGTCCGCCTGCAGCCCCTCAGCCCGCTGATAGAAGGGTCACCGTTTGAGGCATTTGGGTAGCGAGCCTCTCTAGTGTGACCCGAAAAATTACTCAAATTTTGGGATTTTGGGTCTTTTGGTCCTCGTGTGAGTATGCCCTGAAACCACCTCCGGAGGTGGTCTCAAAAAAGGTCTTCCCGCAGCCCCGCAGGCCGCTGACATAAGGGTCACCGTTTGAGGCATTTGGGTAGAGAGCCTCTGCAGTATGACCCGAAAAATGACTCAAATTTTGGGATTTTGGGTCTTTTGGTCCCTGTGTGAGTATGCCCAAATTTTGAAGAGTTTCTGCATCGCCACACAGCCTCTTGAAACTTAGGTTAGCCAAGAGCAGTCAGAGTGGCAGCCTCTTGAAACCCCCTTTCCAGAGCAGCTCTTGAAGATTGGAAACCCGAGCCTGCCTCCAACTCGTGCGTTTTTTAGCGTCCTTCGTCGAACACTTGAGAGACTTTTGATTTTCAAGAGTTGTCAAGCCGTTATCCTGGCGCCATTCAAAAAAAACAAAGTTGTATGAATGTTGTTTTTTATCCTCTGTCCAACACCATCGCCTTTTCGAGAGTGTTGTGTGGTGAGGGACCGAAAACTCTTGAAAATCCAACTCTTGAGAACGTCTGACGACTCTTGAAAATTTCCTAGTTTCTAGAGATGTGTGGCGAGGCCCATAGTCTCGGCCAGGAATGGCACGAACAAATGTAGAAGGCTCTTTTCTGGGTAATCTTGTGGAATGCTGTTGATAACAAGGGTTGGTTCGTAGGGAAGTATTCCCAGTGTTCCCCTGCGCCTAGTCGTAGGGTCTATTTTTCATCCAATATCGGTCCAACAGGTGTAAGACGGCGAAGTATGCATTACTTTGTCCTTCTGGAACTTGCTGATACTTTGTATATAGCTTGTAACCTAGAGTTCGACCTTCGTTATGTGTAATACTTATAGGAAGCAAAGTTATTTTTTTTCTCATCTGATGCCAGGTACGCGACTCTTGCAGATGACGGGTTGGCGACCTGGCGAAACGAGGCGTGTTCACCCCGACCTGCGCGATTGAGTTTTGTCACACTTTTCCAAATCAACTTTGTGCAACCTGCAATCGGATTTCATAATTACTTCACCTATTCTCCTACTCTCTCGTCTATCATTCTCTCTCCGTGTCTCTTACTACTGTGTAAATACACCATTATCGTGCTTTGCATTAAATATGTTATCATGCTTCGTTACGCATAACAATCGGCGTAGCAGGCACTACATCTGAGTGGTTGTGCTCATGACCTACGTACTACCCATACTATTCATAACCATTCTAATTTGTTGCTATATGTCGTCGGAAAAATCCCGTTACCAAACTGGGTAATGGTCCCAGTACATTGTCGATGTTCGTTCTGGGTTGTTTGTGAGGATTCCCGACCTCATGCTTCCATGAATAAAGGTTCATCGGTTTTTCCCCAAAAAAATAAAAAATATATTCATAACCATTCATATTGCTTTTCATACTACTCATCACTATTCGTCATCTTATTACTCTCTCGCTTGGTTTTTATTTTTTTTGAGACGATGAACTTGGGGGGGGGCACAAGTGTGTCATCATTGCCGTCAACCTGGGCACTTCATAAGGGGTTGCCAGTTGAGCCACACCCTGAATGAGGCCGCTGTTATAGGTAACGCGGGAGGTGATTCTGGGCGAGGAGCGTCCCAGTAGGAGAATGATGGGTTGTTACCATCCGCGAACACGAACGAGATTGTGCCATATCAGGCACCGAGAGTGAACAGTAACCAGCATGGCAACAGCCAGTACAACAACCAACAAAATTATGGAGGTGGCTACAACCGCTACAAGAGTCAGCAGAGACCAAGGGGCAACTGGTGGGTAGATAACAGTGAATGGGAGACGAGTGAGAGGTTGAAAATTTTTGGGACTGTTATGCAACAGAAAAAATTCCCAGAATTAAATTATTATTCTAGAGTAAAATTGCATTCTAAATTTTAAATTTTTATTTCATCTTAAAAAATGTCATTCCAATTTTAAAATTTTTTGTCTTACTTGAAAACTTTCCTTCCAAGAATGGGGTATCCCTTCTTATTTGAACTGCATGCTAAAGATGGAATGAAAGTCTGGATGAGTTCATGAAATATTTAAATTGGACTGCCATTCTAAGTAAGGATTTTCAGTCATAAATAGGTTAATCCAATCTAAATTAGACGACATTTGTTGTAGTAGAATGGAAGTCTAATTAAAACATTTCATAAACTCGTCCAGACTTTCATTCCATCTTGAACAAATAGATGGAGTTGAAGGGAAAACTCATATTTAGACGGGAACTTATCAAATTAAAATGAAAATTTTAGAATTGGACAAACATTGGAATGATAATTTATAAATATGAAGGATTTTTTCTTTATGGAATGTTTTTTCAACTTTAATTTCTCATGGGAATTTTTCTGTTGTATGAAAGAGATGGAGGTTAAGGAGAAAGAAAAAAATGAAAAATAAAAAATCGTGAGAGAAGGTGAGGAGAGGAAAAGAGCGCAAGAGGCGGAGGAAGGAAAAACTAAGGCACGCAAGGAGAGGGAGGAGTCCGAGAGTAAGTTAGGAAGCATGGTCAAGGCCAATATAAAGGAAGTTTGTGAGGAAGTGATGATTCTGTTGAACAAAAAAACATCGACGAGTGAGGTCGTGGTCAACAATGTGAGTGAGCAATTGTGAAGACAAGAGCAAGAAAGTAGATGGAGGAAAGCGGGCACCACAACTCGTGACGAAATCTCAAAACATAAGAATGATGAACTTATTAGATTTCAGAGGGAGAATAACGAATTAAAGCGTATCGCTCTCGATAAGGCTAGCGACAAATTAGAGGATTCGCAAAAAAACAATCAGACATTGATACACGATATGCTGGTATTATGGGATGAAGTGAAAAATTTGAAGCGGGGTTCAAAGCGCTCTGTTGAGGTGGTGACAAAAAATAGCCCTCCGGTAGAGCCTACATGAGGAAAAGCAAAAGCCACAACCGAGGAGCGGACTTGGGAA